TGACATACTCTGAGCATTTTACAAGGAGGGACCAGTCCTTTGAGAGGGACGTCATGCTTGGGAGGGTGGAGGGACAACGCAGTAGAGGTAGACCCTTGATGAGACGGATTGACTCAGTGACTGTGGTAACGGGGGTTGTGTGTTAGAGACAATAAGGTTGGCACAGTATAGAGTAGGTTTCAGGGCTATTGTAAATAGGGTCGCTATGAATCGCAAGTGACTTGATGGCACATCACAACAGCACTGGTTACAGACCAACTGCTTTGATAACCTGTTTTCTTCGCTTTACAAAGTATGGTGTAATCTAGTCTCCTTTAGCGTTTTTCCAAGTTGGCGTTGAAGAAAAAGGATGCTATGATAAGAGGTGATGCCTCAAGATCAAAAGGAGGTGGCGCAGGCAGAGAACGTGCGGACGCAGGGCGATGACGCTCAGTCCCTTGCGCAGTGACGCCGGGGGACGCAGCGAAGGGGGGGCCGAGGCGTGTGGGCAGCGAAGGGGCGGGCCGAGGCGTTTGGCGGCGTCGGTGCTGCGCGCTCCTTGCCATTTCTGCCCGCGGACGTGCTCTCAGCTGGTCTCGTCGTCCCGGAGCTGACAGGTAGAGAGATCGTCTAGCCGAGATGGCGACGCTGTGCTTGACGGTGAACACAGGAGATCCTCCCTTGGGTAAGCAGCCTGAGCGGCCCATCTGTGTGATTGCATCAGTCCGGAGGAGCCGACGCTGGGAAGGTCGCCGCGGTACTTGGGTTTTGCGCAGTTTTGGCCCGATCTCAAAGAGTGACTCTAGCTCCCAGCCTCACAACCTTCAGCTTAGCGGCCAGGCGGGTCCGCTCTGAAGCTCATTTTCTGGGTCTGTAGCAGTGCAGTCTGGATCTGGTTGAGTGACACGTGGCACAGCCTTCTCCCTCTGACGAGTGCCTCCCAGCCCATCTCCCTCCCATCTCCCTCTTTGTAATGGTTTTCTTCGGAGATGGAGAATTGCTCGTAGAATCGGCTTTGGAAAGCCTAAAATCCCACCCTCTGCGTTTCCCTTCTCGTCCCCATCTCCTTTAACTCCCCTCCTTAGGTCTCTTACTCAGAAAGTAGGACCATACCACTTATTTGTATTTCATTGAGCCCAAAAGAAACAAGAAAGACAGATGGTTCTATTAATGATTTATTATTTCAGCGGAAATTGAATTTATTTTTAATTAAATGTGGCAGAGCAATTGCTGGAAACAGATGAATATACTGCCGTCTAGTAGGGTTGCTTTATTCTGGTACCACGACCCGTGAGTATGGTAAGCATTAGAGTAAACTTCGCCTTCCCCGTGAATTTTTAGTTCATTGGGATTGCTTTTCCATCTTGATCAAGGTCATTGTGGGTAGATAGGTTAAAATTCCTGCTCTCTTAAGACTGAAGATTAATGGTAAGAATTCAAGTACTTTACAACTGCTTAACTTGCTTTTTTTAAGAGACAAACGGATGTGATATAGATACAGTACTTTATAAACCCAGTACTTGGGATCCAGTTGGCCACACACAGCTGAAATTCTTATTACATTCTAAGTTTGCTAGTCTTCCCAGTGTATTCAATTAAAAAGACATACCAGTTTCATAGTCATTTTAAAAGTCTTTTAAAAAAATTAAAAAGAAAAAAAAATGAAAATGAGAACATGTTAGCAATTGATTCCAGTCATTATGGCCTACATTGGAGCAAATCAATAACCTTCTGAAAACATTTGGTTTTGATTGATGGACTAGGAGTTCTCAGGACGCCTTTTCATCATGACTTAAAACAGAAGGCATTTGGATCCTGGGTGTTAAAATTTGTTGTTGCACCTAGGCAAGTTAAATTTCAAGAAAGGGGCAGATGATTGTTATCTTTCATGTAGAATTGGTTGGTAAAATTAGACAGTGTGTGTAAAGTTCTGATACATTTTAGAATCTCTTTTAACTGCTACATTCTGGGTGTTTTGGGTAGAGGTCTTTCAGACCAGTTCAGTCTGTTGTTAGGTGCTATTGAGTTGAGTGTGTGTGACTCATAGTGACCTTCTGAACAATAGACCTGAACCCTGTCATGTGCCATCTTCATCTCCAACACACTTGAGCCCATTGCTGCAGTCACTGTCAATTCGCCTCCTTGAGCATCTTCCACCCTTTCAAGCATGATGTCCCTCTTTAACAACAAGGCCAAAGTAGGTGAGATGAAGTTTTGTCATCTTTGCCTCCAAGGAAAATTCTGGTTGCTCTTTCTCCAAGATGTCTGTTTGTTCTTTTGATAGTCCATGGGATATTCAGTACTCTGTTGAAGAGCTAACAGGAATCTCTGTTAAAATGAAAGCAAAGAATTTTGCTGAGGGAATAAATACAACAATTCAGACTAGGTAGTATTTATTTCATAAAGGATTCCTAAGGGTGCTTCAGCAACAGGAATCGTCAGTTAAATTACAGAATGTTCAGGAACTTGACAAAGAAAAAGTCTGATAGTTGACATTTACAAAACGATACTTCAACCTGATTTTGAAATCCCTTAAGAGTTATTTTGTTAATCATAAAGTTTGGGAATGTTCTGTGAGAGAAACAAGTCAGCACAGAATAAACAACAAAAACTAGATCTGTCCTTCAGAATTTCACATATATTGAAGCAATTGTTTCTAGTCTTTTATTCTCAAAATAATGTGTTAGGAATTCATCTGTCTTGTTGCCTGTAGCAGTTACTCAGTTACTTAGTTACTGTATAGTGTATTACTACTGTATTATGTGGGTCTGTCTCAGTTTATCTCATTTATTTTGTTGGTCTAGCTAGCCCATCAGGTGAAATTCATCAGGTGATGGTATGATCAATTGCATCTGTGGAAAGAACCACTG